TTGAATTAGTATTACTACAGTCAAACCTGAACACAGAGAAAACATTTTGTTACACAAAACATTAAAATTCTATAAAAATGTAAAAAAAAATGAACAGAAATGTTTTATCAGAGCTTAATCCTTCTGGGTCTGAATTTCAACCTCTTATTTCAGTTTTCTGACTCGTTTTGGCTGCATGGTTATAGCCATACCAATTCATTTGAGTGTGTATAATTGTGTATGTTTGTGTATGTGTCTTTGAGTTTATGTAAGTGAGTTTGTGTTTGAGTGAGTGTGTCTGTTTTGCACTCTTGATGTTTTAGAGTGTAACCCCTTCCTTGCTGTCCACTTTTGTTACTGCATTGTAGTTGAATTATTGCTTTTATTTGACATATTTACTGTGTTACAGTCACACCAGTTCATAGGTGTGTGTGTACGTATGTGTGTGTGAATGGATGTGTTTGTTTTGCACTCTTGATGTTTTAGTTTCACCCTGTCATTGCTGTGTACTTTTTTTTTCTGCATTGTGTCAGATTTGTAGATTGTACACAAAAAAATTCAAAAGTGTTTCGTTCAAAAGTGACCAAAGAGTACCAGAGTTAAGAACAATCATCTCAAAAACTGCATGTCATGCAGATTCATGCTTCATTCTTTTCTGCCTCTCACCTTCTGCCTGATAAAGCCTCTTCAGACTGTGGAACATTGTCATGTTTAAACAAACATCACTCACTGTTCCTTGGTGTGGAACACACTCCCAACAGCGGAATCTATTGCAGTCTTAACAAAAAAACAAAAACAAAACAAAGCACACAATGTAATTAACATGAAGACTAAAATAATGAACTTAATCACATGACATTACAACTATTGAATTCTATTTTGAAATGTTTGTTTTTCAACAGAATATCACTCAATTTGCACGTCCTCGTTCATCAGAATTACATCTCTAAAATGCATTAGCAACAAGCATCAAGCTCAATAGCTCTGTTAAAGTGCAAGAATATTGACGGTAAATAATGATTTGATTTTGCTGTGGCTTGCAGGCCGAGCACCAGTGCTGTTGGATATCCCATCATCCATGTGGAAAACTCCACCCTTGGTGACATCAGTGATGATGACAGGAACTCTGGGGAGTATTACAGCGGAGACGAGTTTAATGAGGATGATGTCATGCTGGCTACAGACAGGTATTGCTAGAAAACGCTTTTCAGAAAGTGTATATCAACAGTAGCCGTTATCTTCATTTTCTCTTGGTTCCTCTTGAAGGTCATACTTTCAGGACACTTTGAGTGATGGTGCTCCAGCTGGACAGCAGGATGCGTGTGAATGTGTCTGTGATGATGGTGAGCAGCTCATATCCCAGCAGCCCCAGAGGTCCTCAAAACGACTCCTGCTGTCCACAGCTCAATGTGAGATATTAGAAAATAATCATGAACTTTTTACAGTGTCACACTGAAACTAACAGAAAAGTGAGAACTAGCATTACTGTGGGAATAAGCAGAGGTGGACAGTAACTAAGTACATTTACTTGAGTATTGTACTTAAGTACACTTTTTGAGTATCTGTACTTTACTTGAGTATTATTTTTTCTGGAAACTTATGACTTTAACTTCACTACATTTGAAAGACAAATATTGTACTTTTCACTCCACTATATTTCTATCAAGGTCCTCGAAGTAGAAAGTCGTTACTACGTAGCAGCTTTGAAAGTCAGTGGGTGATTATTTTCTTTCTTTTTTTCAGACAGTTTATCAGTAATCACTCCTGTAGGGCTACATGAAAAGATTTCCCAGCATTTTGTCTTTACAACTTTTACTTGTAATGGAGTAATATTTGGCCAGCAGTATCTGTACTTTCACTCAAGTAATGGAGTTGTGTACTTTGTCCGCCTCTGGGAATAAGCATCAGACTGAATGGTTCCTCAACAAGCTGTAATCATAAATGGATATATAGTTACATTGATCTATTATGGTACGGGTCCTTCACTTCCAAATATTCAAAGCATTAATGTCAGTGTTCGAGAAATATATTTTCTACCAATATTACGGTGGCCACATCGGAAATGTTCATGGGAACTGCAAAGTGATGAACATGGCTGGGACATATTTATCAATGTTTGCTCTGAAAGGTGAGATTTTTGTTTATTTTAACATCCTGATCATACAATTCCTAAGCTTTCTTTTTTTTGTGATATTATTAGCCTAAATAAGCTGATGAAATACACAATTATTGTAACTGTGAAAGGTTATGTAAGCTGGCTAACTTTTACAACTTTCCGTACAAAAACTAACCATTGACTATGGTTTTACTATTAAAATTAATTAATTAATAAATACATTTATGATATAAAAAATTAAAAAAAAAAAAAAAAAATGAAAATGGTTGCTATAGTTAAACCATGGTAACCTGCACAAATTAACCATGGATTTACTACACTAACCATAGTTTAACCATGGTATTTGTACAACTGTGGTCATACAAATGGTAATCAATACGCCAAAAGATGCTTAATTTTCATTTTGTTGGGGTAATTTTGTTGTGGTCTGTGTTACTTGAGCGTTTCTGTATTTGTTTGTGTTGTGAGCATTTGCAGCGTGTTTCTGGTTGTGTTTTGAGTATTTGCAGCACATGTGCTGTCAAACTGATGAAGATAATTCATAATTTTAATAATATTTGATAACCAATACCAGTATCGGTATCGGTGCATCCCTACTTCTTTAAGAACTTTCTTTAGCCCCTTGAGGTTAGCGGAGGAGTCCTTATATACTAATAAAATTTCCTTCTATACTTAAATCGGAATGTTTTGAAATACAGAATAAATAAAACTTCATCTCTTCAAGTTCATATTTCTGTTAGTGCACAAGAATCTAGATATGGCTCCTATAAGAGTATTCCATCCACATTTGCATTTACAGTTCTAAAAGAACTTTACAGTTTCTAAAAGAAAAAGGCAACAGTGACGCCAGAAAAAAAACTAATTGTCTGTGAATTTTGTTCCAGTTCAGCCTTCAGGGCTAAGATTTCTGACAACAGCTATAGTTTATTGTACATTCCTCCATTATTATAAATATGCATCTATTGATGTATGTGCATTCTTCCATACAGCCTCTCACAAACCCGCTTTCCATTTTGAGTGTCTGCGCAAACAGAACAGCCAAGATGAGATTCCCCTGCGTCCAACAGGCCTACCGCAGCATCAGGTGATAATGACATGACCCCCTACACTATCACCAACATAATAGATTAAGAGCAGTGGCAGTGGTGGGACACGACCTGTGACGTGTATGTAAAGTGCAGTGTTGGGAAGGTTACTTATAAATGTAATAGGTTACAGATTACAAGTTACCCTATCTAAAATGTAATAAGTAGTGTAACTATTTCAGTTACTTTATTAAAGTAATGTAACTGATTACATTTGATTACTTTTTGATAACTTTTATACATTTCTAATGAATGTTTTAAACTGTTAATCATTTTCAGACATGTAAAGCAGGCAGGGTTAACCATACAGTAGCACTCAACACTGATTACTGACAGACTTTCAGAATCCTTCATCACTTGAATTAAGATTATAATAATTTAATATTAAACCACAGCCACCACAAAATCAGACTTTAGCATCGCTTTTTACTTTGAGATTGTTCTAAGGTTAAATACAGATTTAAAATCATAACAAGATATAGTTTAATAGCTATGATACTGTTTTTGAAATCAAATCTTTGCATAGCTGTGACAGGAAACACTTGCATCTAACAATGCTCTGGCAAAAATCAGTTAATCTTAAAAAATAAAGCATATACATCAACCCAAATAAGAACAAAAACAAGCATGTGTCCTATTCTGTGTCCTAAACTCCTGAAACATTGGGGTTTCATATTTTAGAGCAGTCAGTGCAATATGGGAAATAAATCAATCAAATGTGACCCTGCAGCACAAAACCAGTCTTAAGTCGCTGGGGTATATTTGTAGCAATAGCCAAAAATACATTGTATGGGTCAAAATTATCCATTTTTCTTTTATGCCAAAAATCATTAGGATATTAAGTAAAGATCATGATCCATAAAGATATTTTGTAAATTTTTATTACCATAAATATATCAAAACTTAATTTTTTATTAGTAATATGCATTGCTAAGAACTTAATTTGGACAACTTTAAAG